ATAACAGTTAACATTTTTAAGTAAGTTTTAATATTTAATTTTTAGTTAAATTATATTTGGAATATTAATTTTGTTTTTAATATAATTTGGAAACATTGACATTTTCTAAAAATGATACTTTACATTTAGTATATCTAAAAAGACAATATTTTTTTTTGTTAATATTACGTTTTTGTTTTTGATTTTCCATTTTTTATAACAGTTAATATTTTTAAGTAATTTGTAAAATGTTAATATTTATTTTGTTAGCTAAGTTATATATGGAATATTAATTTCGTTTTTAATATAATTTGGAAACAATGACATTTTCTAAAAATAATAAACTAAAATAATGATGTGTCATTTTATGATTGGAGGACTTAAATCCTACGTGGACGCTCTCAATGACTTATAGCCTCAACTTTTATATAGTATAGATTTGGAAAAGACAATATAAATCATGTAATTAGATAAATAAAGAACAAAATATTTTAAAAAATATTTTAAAATATTTAAGAGAGCAAAATATTTTCCCATTGAACATATAAAACAAAAGGAAATTAATTATTATTCATAAGGAAACAAAAAAGATTTTAGCTAATTTTAGTTAAGTATGACATGTGGCCATTTAATAAATTATAGTAACGTGTTATATACTAACAAAACTCTACGGTTTTCCAAAAAACGGTCGAAATCGTTATAACTTATAATCAAATTTTAGGTTTGGGTATTATTTTGTTAAGGAGAAACAAATAAATTGGAGGAAGGAATCATGGTTTCCAGTTCCACCATCACCAACACCTAAGAAATGCGGGATTTAAGCTGCGTCTACAAACAACAGAGTTCCAAAAATAAATAAAACCCTAATTTTCCACCACAAGTCTCTGAAGATTGGTTTGCCTTGATATACACGCTTCTTCTCTTTGGTTCGAAAGCTTTTATTCATCTCCTTGACAAGGTCTATCTTCTTCTTCTTGTCATAATAATTCATGTCTGAATTGATAGTGTTAAGCCTTGCTACTACTCAGTCTTCTAAAATATTGAATCGTGCGTTGTTCGTTAGGCATTACAGGTCGTTATTTGATTTCTGAATGATGGCAACGCCGTCTAGTACAGGGAAAACGAAACCAGACAACCAAAACCTCACCAGATCAAGATCTCTTGGCAGAAAGCCAAAGCTGGCACAACCATCAGAACCTGAAACGAGCGCAGATGGTTCTGGTCGGAAACCAGTTGAGAAGAAGTCTTTGCCCAATTATCTGAGACCAACAATCAGCTCGAGACCTGACCCGGTCAAATTCTTGAAGAAGAACAACTCTGTCGAAGACAAGCTTCTTCGTAGACGTTCGTTTGATCGTCCATCTTCTTCTTTGACCTCTCCATCAACTTCACCATCCCAGAAATTTCTCAATACCTCTCCTCTTGCACGCCCACGAGACAGAACAGTTGTTCCAAGAGAGAAGCCTGTCACTGGTCTGCGCTCTACGTCATTCCATGGAAGCAGCAGAGGCGGTCTAAGAGGAAGCAGTTCGGTGGCTTCGAGAGGATCTCCAGGGGTAAAGAAGAGTGGTCTGAGCGGTGCTAGTTCTTCCAAGAACAAAAAGGAAGGTTCTGAGAATGTTCCAAAGAAATCTTCGGGTAAAGAGATGGCCCCGGACTCTTCTCCTGTTGCGCCTCCTCACGAGGATGAAGAGGAGATTATCAAGGTTGTACAAGTTTCTGACAACAGAGAAGAACCGAAAGGAGACAAAGACCAGGTTGCACAACCCGATGAATCTGTGGAAGAGAAGGAGAACCATCCACTGGATGCCTCCACAGAAGAAGAAAAAGAGGAGCTAATCAACGAGAATACAACAGAGGAGCAGAAAGAACCAGAAAACAACAGTGGAGACAAGGAAGAAGTTGAAACGAAGGTTGTTGATGAGGAGGAGACAGTTGTTACTCCAGATATGAAAGAAGCTGCGGATGTCAAAGATACTAAGGAAGAGGAAGAAACAGAAGTTATAGAAGAAACAACAGAAACAAAGGGTCATGTAGAAAATTTACCAGAGGAAGGAACAAAGAAGGAAGTGGTGCAAGGGAAGAAAGAATCTCCGACAGCCTACAACGATATAATAGCAAGTAAGTTGCAAGAGAGCTCGAGGAAGAACAAGGTCTTGGCTCTTGCTGGAGCTTTTCAAACCGTTATTGACTATGAAACGGCTGCATCTAAGTGATATACAGACAACAACTGCGTCTTGTTAGCTTTTCTATGTCAGTGCTTTATCGCTTTTCCTGTTGATTTTGGCATATAGCATCGAATGTTGGACAAATGACTCATGTGGTTTTGCGTGTGGAACATATCAATGCTTCACATCTCTGCTCTTTTCTTGTCTTTACCAAAAAGAGATCTCTATATGCAAAAGTGACAAGAATATCTAACAATTGAAATTAACTCATCCTAAAAGGGATATTACTTAACTTACATCCACCAGAGCAGCTTTTGCTCTGGTTCAAACAACCGATACAATTGTGCTCTTGTAAAAGCTCCTACTGCCTTTGAGCTGTAACCGCTCCCACAAGAATGAATAACTATAACCATCTTATGTTTCTTTTCCAAAACAAGATCTACCACGCGACCAATCGATGTTGTTGTACTCACACATGGAGGCGGGCTTCTCATCATTGAGACCAATGGCGCTTCAAGCTACAAAGAAAGTAGTTAAACGCACATTATATATCAGTTCATATTGTGTGTCAACAAGTGCTGAAGCGGAACAGGATTTTGTATTAACACTTACATTGTTGCAATCCTCCCGATGCAAAAGGCCTATGCAGCTTCCCCATTCGTCTATAACTGGCACAACTTGCTCCTTGAAAAACCGCATGACCACATTCTTCAGCTGCAGTGTGCCTAGCAGTGGCCGAGTGGCTTCAAATGGAATCATAATACTTTCTATTGGTTCGCTCGGTATAACCTGGGTCAATAGATTGTTGTTATATAGCCATTTCACATAAAAACCACACAAACCTCACAGTCCGAGATCATTTGCATGAATAGTGAGTGTATGAACTAGGTACATTTTTACCTTACTGAGTAGATGTGGACGCAATATAGACTTGGAAAACCCCAACAATGCTTCTAGGCGAACAGCAGCCTGCGGTTGAACACAATTCATTTAACTGGAATTCGTCGGACATAACATTTTTCTACCAAAACAAATATCTGGTGCCTGAAAATAACTTTTCACATCATACCATGCCTCCACTAGTCGTCCAAGGTATTGCCTTCCACCTTCTAACAATACTTGTTAGAATTCCAAGGGCCTCGTCGAGCTGAAAAATTAGGAACAAAAATCACCACCAGACTAGCAGATAGCATAAGAAAATACTAGACATCACATAAAAAAAGACTTTCGATTCACTAGAAGAACCAGCACGTCTAACAAATTCTTTAATACCTGGCCAGCATTGAGAGCTGCTTCCATCAGCAGATTATCAGCTTCTTGTTGGACTGCCTTGGAGATTCTTCCCGAAGAATCTGGCCATAGGCGAAGATACAGGTTTCTAACCATGCCGTAATCTCCTTGGACAGCGAACGCACGCATCATAGACATGTACAAGTGCGGCTTTGGTCTCAGGTCTACATTAGCTCCGCTTATTTTCAATACTTCACCAAAGACACAAAGGGCCCCTGTGAACAGATTCAATATGGATCTTAAGGACTCCAAACCGATCTAAGTACCAGACTCAGAGAGTAATACAATGTATAGTAACATACCGCTCGTTGAACCACACTTTAGAAGAGCATCAACGACTGCTGTAAATGCAGTCCGGTCAATGAACAAGCTGTCACACAGTTTCATTTCCAGATATATTTCTTGCAGTGATATCATATCCTTCGCATCTCCAAATCCCTAAGAAGTAGGAATCCATCGCAAGATGTCAAGTGCACAGCATTAAACTTAGATATGTAAAGAGATCCACAGATTTCCTACTCACCTTCACCAAAGTAGTGTATGTTATAACATCTGGATAAAGAGAATCGTCATAGTATTCCTCTGCTTTCTCCTGAAATTTGGTAGAAAACAAGACATCAATATTAACACGAGCCAAGCACTACCCCAGTACTACTCTGAGTAACACTTGGAGTATAAAACTGGCCTTTTAAATACACACATGTGACCTTCATTTCCTTCAAGAACTTCATAGCGGCATCCAAATCGCCACATTTGATACAGGCATGGATCAAAGTATTGTAGGTAGGCCTATCAGGCTCCAATCCAAGGCGTAACATTTCATCCAGTAAAATCACTGCTGCTTGTGGAGATCCTGAGTTGACATACCCCTGGAAACACAACAACTAACTATATAAAAAACCTAACTTTCCTATTTACTATCAAAAGCAAAAAAACATAGACCATCCCGATGTTTCTCTCAGCCCAAATGCAACTCTGTTTTACGAAGTACTAATAGAGTACTTATAGTATAAATACGCTGTATACTGATAAGATACGATTCTCAACTTGTTCCAAATACAAGCTAAGTCCAGAACCTAAGGATTACACCTCAAGAACCCAAACAAACTTCCTAAAAGACCAAGACATAACATTCTCTTAAACCAACCATTATCAAAGTACCTTCATCAACAAGTTATAGACGAGAATTGACGGGCCGCCATGCTCTAAGAGTAAAGTTCCATATCGTGCAAGCAGACCATTGGCACGCCGTAAATCTCCTGCACTAGAGCAATACCAAGTACCTCTGCATCAGCCTCAGGCCAAGATTACTTAATCAACATTAGCAGCAGTCTGATTAAGCATGAGAAGCTTGAAGAATCTTACCGGCACTGATCAAAGCATCAAGCAAACCATAAACAAGAGACGATGACAACTTGGGATTCCCAGGAGCACTTCCCTGCTCTATAGACTCCATAATCTGAAACGCTTCATCAATCCTCCTAACCTTTCCCAATCCCTAAACCAAAACGCTCAAAATCAAAATCTATACGTTGTTTTGCGTAATGAGAGAAAAAACAAACAAAAAAACAAAAAACAAAACTCACCTTCAAGATAATGGCGTAAGTGATGGAATCAACGCCACATCCACCAGGCTCCACCATCTCACGAAACATCCGGAGAGCCAAATCCACATCTCCGCAATGAACGCAACCTTCCAAAACGGAGTTCATCACGATCGTATTCAACCTCCCATACCGTTTCTTAGCCGCTTCCACCTCCTCCACGATCTGATCCAGCTGGCGACGCCGCTTGAGGAGCACGATTCGAGAGGTTAGCGGCTTGAGGTTGACACGCCTGGAGGAGTAGTGGTGATTACCTCTGCTTCGTCGTCGCGTCGGAACGGAGCAGGAGGAAGGGAGGAGAGGGAGATGAGTCGAAAGAGACGAAGTAGCTGAGATTCGATTCATCTTTCGAGGAAAAGCTACCGATCCGCCATTGATGGGAGCTAAGAGAAGTGGATAACGTCGGAGAGAATCTAAATCAGTCAGTTACTGACAGTGGCGGGTTGTGGAAGACGTTGTGGTGGTGGAGATTAGTTGGGCCTTGGGCTTGGATATTAAAGCCCATTACTTTCGTAAAGCAGGGAGGGAGGGTGTTGCGTTTTGTCTTACTTTTGCAAAGTCCCACATCGCTAATAATAGAAGGAGGGGAGGCATGAGAAGTAATATAAAAGAAGAGGCGAGGTGTATGGACAAATCATACCTTTCTCGGCCTTTTGGCTAAGATCAAGTGTAGTATCTGTTCTTATCAGTTTAATATCTGATATGTGGTCCATCGGGCCACACGATATTAACTTTATTTTTTTAGGGTGAAGGCCCACTAAGATAGCTTGCTATCTGGGTTTTTATGAGTCGCCCATGCGTTGCACTATTGCACGGGCCTGGCTCAGCCCGCCAATTCTCTAGTTTAATTATTTACAATTCTGGGCCCTGTATTAATTGGAATTTTCCATTTCTCACTGGTTCAAAAAATAGTTGTTTAACTCTTGTGATATCAAAATTTTATCTAACATTCGCATTGTCTTGTTTGATTTATTTGTCGGTAAAAAAAAAATGATAACCACATTCCTAGATAGAATTGATAAAATCATGTGGATAATCTAGTGTGTATGTTGTTTGATATAAATCACTGTCTTGTGAAATGTTGGGAATCGAGGGAAGTTGTAAGTTCTTACAAGTTGACCAAAGATTATACTCCTGAATCTACTGAATGGTCTGGCTTACCAAAGACCTCTACAGAAATCAGATCTGTGAACTTTATAACACTCTTACTTACGACATGATTTTATTTCCCGTTATATGATTGTGGCCGGTTACCAATTCCATAAAATAGTTACGATGTTGGTTGTTTCTATATGGATGTGATCTTGTTGCCACTTGATATCGTTTTATAGGTTAATGTTTTTGCATTGATGGTGAGTCTGAGATATGGATATCTTATGTATGAACTTCCAAGAGAAGAGAGAGTTATAGGATGGTCAATGCATCAGTTTAAGGGACAGTGAAAAAGCCCTAGAGGATGTAAAAACTTGCAAGTCAAGCAATTCCCGTGCGTTTATTTCTCGCCGAGGATGCCTTAAGAGTTCAATCGCTTTACATGAAGGTATCTCTAGTTTCAGATTTCGACATATTGTAACTGTTGTTATTACGGTTTATTTTAACTGTGTTTTAATTCCAGCATATACACAACAATTTTAGTAAACATGCCACAAGAAATTGAGTAAATATCTCTTTAGAGGTGTTCCAGCTAAAATCTGAAGCTTTCTCCAAACATTTTTATATCTCTTGCTATTTCCTTTTATGATGATAATTGAGGTTGATCCTTCTTCCAACAATTTAAAATCTGTGCTACAAAGAATGTCTTGAGTTTTTACATATAGATTATACATATAATATAAAAAAGCTTTTGTCCATTTATTCCGGTATAAATAAAGTTTCATGCATATTCACGAATTTACGCATTTGAAACTTGAAAGTCAAAAGTGGCTGTAAAAAGAGTTAAAGATTAAACTAAGCTTAATTATCTGCAATAGTTCTAATTCAGTTATGAGATACATGATAATGTATATAATCTAGTTATTTATTTATTTATTCACCATGTATTCTTCATTTTAAATATCCAAGTTGAAGTAATTGTAAATACAAAATGAAAAGTAAGTTACTACTGCATATGAAACTACGGATGGTAAGGAATTCCAGAGTCGTGTTACCCACTTTGTATTATTTTTCTCAAAACCTTCCTTTAGGATTCATTGGTCTTTACCTTCTACTAGAGACTTTTTCCGCGCTACGCGCGGATTAATTGCTTATAATTTTCAGAAATTATATATTTTGATTTATCTTGTTTTAATTTAATTATATTTTACATTTTAAAATTGAATATGTAAACCCAGTAATTATTAAAAACTATTCTACTTAGATTTTATATATTTTTATATTAATTTTAGATTAATATAAATTTTTTATTTGCTTATATACATTATATAATATGTAATATACATATATTAAAACTATCAAAATTTCAGTGAACTCTATATTATTTATAACCGATAATATATTGTTTTAATGTGTTAAACAATGTTGTTTATTAGATATTTATCATGAAATTAAATTTCATAGGTATCGTAAATTAATGTGTGGAATGACTTACTATAATTCCTGTAAATATATCAGTAAGAAATTATAGAAATTCTTTTTAGTAGCTAAGTAAACATCAGTAAACAATTCTTGACTTCGTAAAAAATAATTTAACAAACAAACGTATTTTATCTCAATGGAAAAAGTTTAAAATGGTTAATTTTAAAGTGTTGAAAAACTTTTAAAAAAATATCACATAAAATTTTCAACCAAGGCTCGGTAAATTAGTTGACATCCTAATTTTTAATTTGTTTTACTGAGCTCTAATATTTAATATAATAATTCAATTTATTTCTTTAATAATAAAATGTGGTAAGAAAATAGTACTATTTGGGTAAATTAATTAATTTATTAACTACAAATATGTTTTAACCAACTATGTTTCTAGCAGTTTATTTTATTAGTTTAGTTGTTAAAAAGGTGATAAAATAATATATTTATAACCTAAATGTATAAAAAATTTCGCAACTACTCATTTTCAAATGAAAAGAGTAATATGAATAATTTCAACTGGTTATTATATGTAGTTAAAACAGATGATTCAGTTACAGACAGCAGAAGCTGAATAATTTCAACTGGAAGACAATTATTTGATATTAGTCTCTGCTTCTTCACGTCTTGTTCAAAAATATCTGTAGGCTTTCTTAAGCTACTGCTGTCTTCACTCTCTGTAACTGAATCAGGAATCTCATGTTGACCAACTCTTTCTTCTTCATCATCTGTTGACTCTTTTCTAAGTTAGCATCGTCAGTTTGGGTTTCTTTCCCATCAGACTCTCTCTTGGCAACCTTATTGTTTATCTTCTCTTGACCACCTGTTTTTTCTTCAACCATTTCTTGAATCTTGCTTTCTTCCTTGTATCTCTCTGGTTCTTTAATCCCTTGAGCCTTCATCAAGCCATCATCATTCTCGTCACCATCAGTCTTTTTGTTTTCCATTTCACTACTCTTACTTGAATCAGCCAACTCTTGTTCACCAATTTGTTGAATCTTTTCGAAGTTATCATCCTCAACTTGAGTAGCTTCATCATCCACACCTCCACCGAAACACTCTTCTTCACCTTCAAGAACTTGACTCTCTCTTTCTTTATCTTCCAACATATCTCCAAAATCTTATTCTCTCTGAGTCTCAGACTGTTCATCACATTCTTCTCTGTTCTTAACTTCACTCACATCACCAAAGTCCACACTCTCTTCTTTTTCCTCCTCTTGCTCAAGGTTAAATCCAGAGATTCCTTTTGCTCTTTTAAGCCAAGAAACTCATCATACATTACGTTACGTATTGTCCAACATAAGTTCCGGCAATGTTCAAGCTCTGCCCAGAAGTGAGAAATGCAATCGCTAACAGCCTTGAGCTCCATTTACCAAAAATGTTCTGTTTAAAACAGAGAAAGCAGTAAGCTTTAGTGTTTCGAAACATTATATTACAGAACTAAAGCAGTAGCAATGAAGCAATTTACCTGTAGGAGAAACGAAGTCTTGTGGCTATGGAAAAGAGATGTTGGCATAAGAGTTTTATAAAAATAATCTCTTTTCTGATAGGTAAATAGAGTAAGTGAGCTTATAACACAACCAAGGCGTAAGTGAAGATATTGTTGGACCAGTTGTGTGATTTATCTTGAGATGAGAAACCCAGAGACCTCGTACGAAGTTTCTTTTGTAGGGATTTGAGTAGTGGAGCATGTAGCAATTGTGAACACAAAAATGCAATATACAACTCTTGTTGTATCACCTGTAAACCTTCCACCACACAAGAGAAACATCAACAGTGTTGACAACACGAAGTAAACCAGCAAATGAAAGAGAAATGATCTCACATCTTCTTATAAAGGCAGTGAGAACTAACAAAGATTTAAGAGAGACACTATTGAAACACAGTCAGCGTGAAGGAAGTTGGTGCCTTCTAGGATGTCACACGCACATACTGCAATTTATGCAACAACCTGTCATAAAAAAATTGGAAGTTAACATGAATCAGTTCTACAATGCTCAAATAATTGTTTTCGTATGATTTTATAATTAAGAAAAATTCAGCAAACTGATGTATACAACTTACAACCGGAATTTTATCAAGAAATAAACTTACAACCAATTAGAATTTCTTTTGTTGGTGTTGTCAACGAAAGAGTAAGGTGGTCTTCAACACACTGATAAGCTAAACTATCTCGATCTCATAAAATCAAACCCTTGCGACACCAACCATCAAGCTTTTTCCGTCATCAAAGAAAATATGGAAAGTGATATGGAATCTGAGTAGAGTTCAAAGAGTACATATACCTTAAGATGGTAAGAGAACTCTACAGTCACTGTAATCTTTCCTCAAAAGCGTTACTTTGAATCTCTCCAACTGCTGCAAAACTTCTGTGAAATGGACGAAGCAAGAGAAAGTAAAAGCATGTTTTTCAGCTTGGTTTCAGTCGTTGTTGTTTGAAGCGTGTGGGAGGACAGTGAATCCGGTTAACGGAGCGGTTGGTATGTTATTGACTGGGAACTGGCACGTGTGCCAAGCGGCGGTTGAAACTGTTCTTCGCGGCGGAACGTTACGACCTATCTCAGATCTCCACGAATCTCCGTGTTGATCTCCTCTGAGATCAAGATCTAAGCTCGCTACCAGGGGAACGAAAGAATATCCGGTCAACTATAAAGGATATGGAGCTCCAGTTGAACCCTGGCTTAGCTCTAACCGGTCTGGTTGTTCCGGTTCCCTTTCTTCCTCCGCTGCTGTTTAGCAGGGCTGTGAACAGTGATGAATCGAGAAGTCCATCGGAGGAGTCTGTAACGGCGTCGTGTATGTAAATGGAATCAGCGGCAGCGATGGATACATAAGCAAAAGAGAGAAAAAGTTATTAAATCTTTTTTGCTTAAAACTGACGACGCAAACTCTTCGCACTCAGTTTTTCTCGACAGTCCTTTTTAAGGTTTTTTTGTGAAGCCGCATAATTATTGGCTACATAGTAAGCCATTGTTTGATGTGCTTACTGGGTTTTGGTTAGATACATATATATAGTTGAAGAATCAACGGGAGGTGGAACGAAACAATAAAAGAGTGAGTAAAGACATCATTGATTGATGAAGAAGAGTGGTGGTAACGGGATTACAGAGACATGGATGATGGATCAGTGAAGACTAAAGACAAAGTGAAATAGTTGGTGATTTTGGATTTAATCTGGGCTACGTCTAATTTTGAAGCCCACAAAAATGCCCAGTTCCAATCAGACGTGGAGATGATGATGTGGAGAGATGAAGCTCTCTGATTGACTGAATAAAAAATCAGACGTGGACACTCCCATATGCTTTGATTTGTGGCTTTTAATTATAGTAGATTTTGTTGTTCCGGTCCCATTAGTAATTAAACATATAAGTTATATCGAATGCTCCAGACATTATTTCATCATATTAAGTTAGGTATCGAAAATCTTTATTGAATGTGTCAAAATGAAATTGGTAGATCTTATTTAAAAAGTTAATAAATAGTAACCAAATGTACTTAAATAAAATGTAAAAAAAACTCTGACAAAGGCCCTACTCAGAATAAATTATCAAATTTTATTTTGACTTCTTTAATAATGGAACCCAAAAGTATTAAAAATTGCAATGGACTTGGATTTGGAGCAATAGTCGAGTGTTAGTGTAAATATGATTCTATTGAAATGCGATACTTATGTTCTTGTTAATGATAGAAACCTATAATACACCTTAATTTAAGTTTGTCATCGTATGCTGATATCTTATGTCATCCATCTTAATAAAAAAAAAAAAATTCTTTTTTGAAACTAACACATATTATTTTTTTAAATATTATTTTTATATATTGGGGTTGTTACCCTAAGAGATTCACGGATGATAGATTCACATAAAAACTATATTTGAATTAACTATGTAATATTGTTTATATTTTATACAAACTAAAACTTTTAAAACATGTACACATGTTAATCTAGGATGGAATAAGTATAACGAGCTATAATATTCTTACACATAAGTATTTATTGTGAAATTCATCTAATATATTCTTTTTTGTAGGTGGTCACTTTCTTAAATCCAGCTCAACACACACATAAAACTATCAACAATGAATTCAATATTCAGCACCCTCCACCTCATCTATTCTCTTTTCCACATCTTTTTTTTTCTTTTTATATAATAATTTAACATCCACTAACATACAATAGTTTGTTAAATTTTATTCAACATCGTACTCTACAATTATTTTATTTTTTAATAATTTTTTTTCCTATGTGTTTTTATAATTACATATTAACAACTATTGACAGAAATTAATTAAGTTGTTTTAAAACTAAATATATGTTTTACATAATTTGATTTTTATTTTGTAAATTTAATATAAAAATCAAATATTAAAGATGAAAAATAAAGAAAATCATTATTAAAATAAATAAAATTACGAAAAAGTAAAATATAATATAATACATAAAACACACAACATAATTAATTAAGATTCATTTGTAGTAAAAGGATATGATTTTTTTCTGTGTCTAAATTAAATGAAATAAGTCTCTATTTATAGAGTATGAAAAAACGAATTTTGATGTAAAAATATTTTTTAAGAAAATTGAAAGTGGAAGAAATAATTGATCTCAAATAATTAAAAAAAAACAAATAAAAAATTTAAGTGACTATTGATTTTGTGACACATAGCTTTTATGGGTGTATTTTTCCTTATCTTCAACCATTCAACATTGTTGAATTCTTTCAACTATGTTGAATACATGTAAAATTCAATTTCTTTTCCAATATATCATTGCACATTTTCAACTATTAAATTTGAAAATTCAATAAGCCATTTTGTAAGTAGTCTAAATGTACATTATGAGAAAGATTAAGAGATTATTTACTCTCATATTCTATTTCGACCCCTTATTTCACGTTTTACACACGATTTGACACCTTCTAATTCATTGATGAAAATGTTCATTCATCTTTCTCATTCTATTCCCGTGGACTCTACTACTCTCACTCTCTTTCCTGACACACTCTCTTTTCTGATACTCTCTCTTCTAACATTTTTTTCATAGCCATAAAAATGATAATCTTTCTTTTTTTTTCCTTCAGTTTCATTTTTCACCCTTAAATTCTCTCATTATCTCTTTTATTTTTTTGTCAATCTCTCTTCTACTATTTTTTTTCGTGATGAAATATTTTTTATCTTGGGGTTTTTCAAATTATTATTTACTATATCTTGTTTCAAATTTTATATCTTGTTACAAATTTTGTTAACTCACTAACATATTTTGTAGATTTTAACAAATGTCTTATCCGTTAACAAAAATACATGTACCATAATTGTTAGCAGAGGTGTTAGGTGTTAACAAATTTGTAGATGTCAATACATACGTTAGGTATTATATGTTAACAAATAAATAAAATTGAGGTTTCAATTTCTCTATCAAACTGAGTAAATTTAGAAAGTAATAAAACATGTATCAATTAACAAATGAGTTAACCGCTAACAATTAATCTAACACTAATATCGAATTTATAACAAATTGTAGATTTTAGAGATGTTAAGATCTTGCAATCACTGTTTTCAATCATATCAAATGTTAATTTATTTTATCTATTATAATATTTTAAATTATATTTTTAAAAATATTATTAGTTGATAATATTTTTAGTATTTAGAAAAATCTAACAAATATGTGGACAAAAATGAAGTAGGTATAAATAATAAGATTTTGACTTTTCTATAACCAGCAGAAAAATGTGGATGTGTCAGTTGAAGAAAGACATTTTCATCCAATATTAAAAAAATTATAAAAAATTTGTCTTAAAGTCAAATTATAGGAAAATCACAAATTTGAGTTTTTTTTATGGGTATTTGGTTGATTGTCTCGAAGATTAATTAGACTAGGAAGAAAGCGGAGAAGGTTTCTGTTGCTTTAATCGAGAGGTAAAATTAAACTAATGTACAAACAAATCCACTATAGGATTCGTGTCCCCATCCAACTAATATCTCTACATTCTCGTCTTTTGCTCAACTCGTACAAAAATAACATTATCCCTATTCTTCAACTACCGTCCATATTTTTGGGGAGAGATCAAAACATAACACACAAACAGATGTTTGAAAAGCAGCACCACGTGTTGGCCGGCAATACTGCAACTATGAGGATGACATTGCCACATGTGGTACAAACTAGCAACTAATATATATTTAATACGTTTGCCACATTGCCACAGGTGTTAACAAACTAGCAAACTGGCAACAACGGGGACGTACAGGACAAAAGGCTCCGAGCGCCGTTCAGATCATGGGACTATATAAAAGAGAAATGGCTTAGCTGTTTTCTTTCTTATTATCAAAAGGACCCGTTAATCTATTATTGCTGATTACTACTCTTTCTGTGTCAATTTACTTTATGTTTTAAGTTTTTATTTTGTTTGATAATAAGTGATGTTCTTTTTATTCTAAATAAAATTTAATATTGTTTAAAACTTATGACCAATTACAAAATACTATATATTTTTCTAATTGGTTAAAGTAGTT